TGATCACATCTCTCGAGCGCGAAATCAGTTGTGTTTTATGGTGCCGCGGCAAATGCATGATTTGTATACCTTGACTGCAGCTCACAAGATACTTGTCAGTGGAGAGCCGTCCGAACTGGCCTCACTCTTCCAGTGCTTTTCCGACGCGCGCAATTGTGACCGGCCAACTAGACAGGACGGGCGTCTTCGGCCGCCGGCTTTCCGAACCGTGACCGGACAGCGATCTTTTAGTTACCGAGCTGTGACGCTTCTCAACCGCCTACCAATCGAGACCCGAGCTCTGGGCCCGTCTGCTTTTAAGCGCGCTGCCAAGTCGCTGGTACTGCAGTAGCTTTTACGACCGTGTGTGCATGAGCGGTGTGCGTGTATGTATGCTGTGTACATGTTGCGTGACATCCCTCCCACCTCATTGACACTTTGTTTTATCTATCTTACTTAAGGCACAGAATAGCCACAACCATGTGTGGAGTGTCTGTTGATGTAATACATACATAGCTGCGGCATGCCCCAGCTCAGCCCTAGTAAAAAATACATTGGTTTTGATCAAAGTGGGCAAACCCAAGCTAAGCCCAAGCTGCCCGACGTTTGCCACAGTTCAGCCCAAGCGAATTGCTGGCTGGGATAGAGTGACTGACATGAAGGAAACGGGATGGTATCTCCACGTCTTAATTTTTAGAATGTACGGCTTTTGGCGAGTGCTGGCACAGCGGAGAGACGTCGGCTGAACCTGGACGTCGGGTTGACAGCGGGGGGAGGCGTCCTGTGCCTCGGCTGGGCGTGGGTCCGACGTCGGCTGTACCTTGGGTTGATAGCGGAGAGACGTCGGCTGTACCTCGACTGAACGTCGGCTGAGCGTCGGATTGACAGCGGGGAGATGTCGGGCTGACGTTGGATCAGTCTCGGCAAACGATCTCGGCCCGACGTCGGCTGGACCTCGGCTGGACGTCGGTATATGCGGACGTTCCCGCCGTCCAGCCGACGTCGGGCCGAGGTTGGACTGACGTTGGGCCGACGTAGGGCCGAGACTCAGCCAGACATCGGGCCGAGGTTGGCATGTTTACCTACTGGGTAACTATTTTTGCGTTTTTGAATTTTTTTTCACAACCGTTTGGAATTTTATTTGAGCGAATTTACTTCTTATTCTAATCAAGCGAAATAATTAGGTAGTGAAGCGAATGGATTAAACTAATTTTTTATTAACCTTCGCCCCAGTGTGGGGGGGGGGCATATGTTACCACCCTGTCGCGTTTTTTGCGTGTGAATAAAAAACCGCGGCGCGTAGCGCCGCGCCGCTTGGGGTAGCTTTTGGTACATCAATTTTGGGCAATGTGTGAAATGTTTGACCCCAGGTCATGTCAGGTCAGGTCACCAGGTCAAGTTAACTGACCAAGCCTAAAAAAGTTTGCAATCATGTCCGGCCTGCAGTGTTTGTCAGAAAGGTTTGAAACTTGGTGGATTGCATGCTGTTATGGGCGCCTACAACTTGTATATATCGGATTTTTTATATCCGTGACCTAAGGTCAGGTCAGTGGCGTGACCTTTCCATTACAAGTCAATGGAGAAAAATGAAAATGCCTCTAGATCCGTGTGTACGCATAGGAACAGTCCAAATATTTCAGAATCACAATGATTTAGTCCACTCGTGATGACCAAGGTGTCATTTTTGCTGATAGCCTCTAGAAAGGTCATCCGAGGTTATTTGAGGCTACAAACAGTTTTTTGCCAATAACTCGCGATTGGAAAGAGATAGAACGCTGGGGATGGTCTCATTGTGTTTGTCTTGTTGAGACGCATCGACTGATATGCAACATGACCTTTTCCGGTCAGGTCATAATTTTGACCTGAGGTCAAATTTTTAAATTGACCTTTCAAGGTCAAATTATAGTTCATTCGACGCGTCTCGGCGAGGGGAACACGATTCTGGCAATATAAATGTCGTGGCTTTTTGCAGTCGAAAGTTATTGTCGAAAAACACTTTTCGTAAAAACAGCTATTTTTGGAGTTTTTGCCCTCTGGAGGCTAAATCGTTGACCTGAGATCAATTTTGATTATGACCTTATCAAAAGAAGAGTTCAAAAGCTATCGATTGCTTTTCCATGCGTTTTTCTAGCTACCATAGTTCCTGAGATAACGGCATGTTTTCTGAAAAATATAATGACAATTGGCAAATTTTGACCTTTAATGACCTCTGGTGACCCCAATATTGCTCTAAGGTGAAAATTGACCTAAATACTTTCAAACGTACGCATTGAGAGCTATCGACTGCTTTTTATCGCGTCTTCCTAGCCCTCTTAGTTTTTGAGTTAGAGGTGGGTGGTAACATATCCCCCCCCCCTAGGACGAAGTTGGCTGAGACCGCCACTGGGGCGCGGGTTAACCCGCACACCGACGGGGGGGGGGGCGGATATCCGCCCCCCTTGAGGTTTTTCGCAGATAGCGGGAAACCCTACGCGAAATTTGGCACGACTATTCTCTCATCAATTTTACACATACCCAGTAAACATGCCGACGTCGGCCCGACGTCGGCCGACGTTGGGGTGACGTCGGCAACTCGGCATCGCCATGCCGACGTCGGCCCGACGTCGGTCCAACCTCGGCACGACGTCGGCTGGATGTCGGATATGCCCGCATGTTCCGACGTCCAGCCGAGGTCCAGCCGACGTCGGGCCGACGTCGGACCGAGATCAATTGCTAAGGTCCAGCCGACGTCGGGCCGACGTCGGGGCGACGTCGGACCGACATCGGCCGCTGTTTTGACCGTTAAAATAATATAAAATACATGTTTCATGTTTCATAAAGAGCTTCTGTATTCAAAATATCCTCAGGAAACTCAAATCTTCCTCCACGCCGCAACCCCCTGATCCGGACTGGACGGGAAACTTTATCCCATTTGGGATTGCCCGTAAGCCGAGCTCGCCCGTAGCCGGGTGCGGTGAGTGCTTGGGGGCTGCTCGGCCTATCCTTTGGTCAGGCTCATCCCCGGCAACTCACCAGGGCCGGGCCCAGTTCATATAGAAAGGCCAGTCGGCAAGTGTCACTTTGCCAAAGTGCCACTTATCAAAGGGACACTTTGGGAAACGTTGGTGCAGGTGTGTAAGAGTGGCTATATGTATGAATCCATTGTGGGGTCGCCCTTTCCAATAAGTGTCACGTAACAGCAATGGGACCAGGGACTCTATATGAACTGGACCCAGGGTGCTTGCCAAGAAGACCAATGTCTCCATCCTATGATCCTTCCGGCTCTGAAATGGTCTTGTCAGACCGAAAGGGCATAACCCAACAAAACAAACCACATTCGTTAGCTGGCTGCGTGGTGTAGTGGTTAGCGCACTAACTTCGCTTTCGAATGACACGGGGTTCGAATCCCATCGCCGGCTGATGCTTTTGGCGTGTTGTCCCAGTAAACATGCCGACGTCGGCGACTGGGGGCCTCGAATCCCGCCGCCGGTTGATATTTTTGGCGCGTTGTCCCAATAAACATGCCGACGTCGGCCCCGTCGGTGCAACGACAAACGATCTCGTCAACCTCGGCAAACGATCTCGGCCCGACGTCGGCTCGACGTCGGCTGGACTTCGGCTGGACGTCGGAACATGCGGGCATATCCGACGTCCAGCCGATGTCGGGCTGAGGTTGAACCGACGTCGGGCCGACGTCGTCATGTTTACTGGGTAGTGTGCAAGTTTGAACCTCCTAACTTTTAAGGGCAGGTCACCAGGTCACTTTGAATGATCCAACCTCAAGTCACTTTTTTGCAACTTTGTCACCGTGCCAGAGCTACAGTAGATGTCGGAGGCCTTTGAAAGTCGCAGGGTGTTATGAGGTTATTAGTAGCTACAATGTGTATATCTCGGAATTTTGATATCGATGACCTAAGGTCAGGTCAATTTCTCGACCTCCCCATCATAAGTCAATGGGGAAAAAATCAACTCCCTGTTTTTACCACTAAAACGGGTCGGAATGGCCCCATAAACCATACATGACTTCATATACGATCAACCTTCAATACCTTGAGGTCTGCTTTGCTGTTGGGCAGCTGTAAGGTCATGTGACGTCATCAAAGGTCACCAAAGGTTTTTTACCAATAACTCCGTACAGGAACAAGATACAGCCGCGCGAATGGTCTCATTGTGTTCAGCTCGTCAAGGCACATCGAATGCTATGCATGATGACCTCGAGGTCACGTGACCTGAGGTCAACCTTTGACCTTGACCTTTCGAGGTCAACATATATATCATTCGATGCGGATTGACGAGAGGATCACGATGATCCCCTTAGTTTGTTCCTATCTTGACTAGTTCGAAAGTTATTCGAGAAAACTCCATATCTAGCGCCGCCATTTTGACTTCTTTAACCCCTGTGACGTCATCTTTGACCTGACCTGAAAATGACCTGAGTAAAAATTGTAGACCTTGTCCATGATCCCATGCCTTTTACCGCTTGTCGCTATCTTGCTTCGTTCTCGAGATCTCAGGGTGGTCATCCGCCACCCCCCCCCCCCGTCGGTACGAAGTTGGCGCAGGTCGGTGCGCGGGTTAAAATTCAACTCCAGTGGCTAGGTTCATGGATTGAGTGGTTATCGTAGATGTGTTTTACCAATTTTAATGCCCCACTAATAAGAATGCCCCAGAAGAATGCCCCCACTAATTTAATGCCCCACTAATAAGAATAGCCCCACTGAGTTGGCCACAATCTGCTGTGCCAGTGGCCGCTCTATATCGCATGCTCTACCTGTGGCCAATGTCTGTGAAAGTTTCGGGACTGCGACCTTCGTTGACCTCGGTGAGTCAAACGTATTGGTATTGAAGTGACGCTGAATGTTTTAGGCCACGTATGGCCCATCGCCAGGTGTCGGTGCTGCGTACTAGTTTCAATTGGATCCGAGGCGTCCTGAATCCTGACTGAATCTGGCCGTTGAATACTTCTACAGCCTGTCGTCCTCCTTATTCTGGATACTACCTTTCCATCATACTGCTGGGCATATAACATCAAAGCTCCGAACTGAGCAAAGAAATGTATTTTATCATAGCTTGCCGAGAAAGAACAGAAAACTACTTGCGAAATTTAACAGCCGTCTGGCGTTGGTATGCCAAGTACACAAATTACACACGGCTGAAATAATTGACAGGCTCGGTGAAAAATGCAGGCAATCACAGAGTTCAGTTACAGTGATAAAACAGATACGAGAGCCGGAGATCAGCGACAACTACAGACGGCGGCGGCGCGGAGCGGGCGGCCGCCGCCGGCGCGTCTTCTCCGCGGCACGGACATTTTGTACGCACTTTTTCTGTGGCCGCGTTTGCACTGATCCGCGGATGGGGCGGCGCTGGCGTCTCGCGCCCGGTGCGACCGCCGGCGCGGACCAGCTGTCTCGCGCTGCTGAGCCGCTGGCGTGGCTGACACTGCGCCGGCGCCGCCGCACGGTGCCTGCCTCGGGCAATGGTGGTCGGCTGGTGGCGCGGCGATCTGCCGCCGCCCGGCCCGTGGTCCAACGCAGCCGCCCTTCAGCGCCAGCACGACGCACGCTGCTGAAATTCTTGTTTGTTGGCCGGTCCGCCTACAGGTCACCGTAGGTTTGACCGCTTCGGGCCGAAGATGAGGTCGGCGTCTGGCACGCCCTTGGCGTGCTGATATTTGGGCCGCCGGTCCCTGTTGGGGTTCAGCGGCCGGGCGGGCGCGCTGTTCAGCTCCTGCATCTCCTCCTCCTCCTGACGCTCGTTAATGTTCAGCGTCAGCTGCTTCACTCTCTCGCGCTCCTGGCGTTCGGCCTCTTCGTGCGACCTCAGGCTGACGGCGAGCTCCGAGTCGTCTGGCACGGCCAGGCTGCGGTGCTGCTGCTTGTTGCCGCGCCGCATCAGCAGCAGGAAGGTGACGGTGCTCGGCGCCGGCCGATCCGCCTCGGTGCGCTCCGCCGTCAGGTCGCCGTACGTTTTCCGCACGGGACCGCCCGTGGACACCGGCGCCGACAGCTCAAACTGAGGCTTCACCGCCTCCCGACTGCGCTCCATGATGCTCTCCGACACCATCTGGTCGAGGGCCGCGAGGAAGTCGTCGTCCTCTGGACAGGCGATCCGCTGCGGCGCCAGAGCGTCGGTGGCGTCCGACGCCGCTGCGTCCACGTCGCTGGCGCCCAGCTCGTCGGTCAGCTCGTCCTCGACGTCGTCTTGTGTGCCGCGAGGGGCGACCTCGTCCCTTTCATCCGCTTCGTCCTGCTCGTCGCCGTCGGGAGGAGTGAGCTGCTGTGAAAGGCTCTCCTCCTCCGGCTCGTCGAAGTCGCCGTCCTCGCCCACGGCACCGGCCGGTGGCTCCTCGGCGATCACCGGCAGTTCGGCGTCTCCGGCGCCGGTGGCCCTGTCCGGCGCCGCGGCCGGCACCAGCTCCGCCAGCCGGCGGCGCAGCTCTTCATCTAGTTTCTCGGCGGCAGCCACGGCAGCCTCGCGGCTGCTGTGCAGCGTGGCGCGGGGCCGCAGGGCGCTCAGCGTGTCGCGGTACATGTACTCCAGCCGTACAGGGAACGGCTCCGCGCCGGCCTCCTCGGCCACCACCGCCGCCGCCGCCGCCGCCGCCTTCCGCGCCCAGAAGTACCGCTGCAGGTAGACGATGTAGTGATCCAGCTGGCGTTTGGCCGATCCGGAGCTGAAGTAGCGGCCGCACGTGTCGAGCAGGACACAGACCAGCCGCAGGCGGAGCTCGCTGCCGGGCGGGTCCAGCGGCGACGGTACCTCCGGGTCCAGGCTGACGCCGAACGAGATCAGCGAGTACAGCACCTTGAACACCACGCCAGTGTCCAGCAGCCGGTAGTTGTATAGCTCGCCCAGGTAGCGTACCACGCTGATACGCCGCTGATTGAACCGCACCTCGTTGATCTCCATGCCAAGTCGAACGTCCTCAAGAGTGTTGTCCACCACCCGGGGTCCCACCTCCTCTTGGTACTGCGCCAGGCCGGCGACGAGGCTGGCCAAACACCGGATGTGGTAGTACTTGATGCGCCACACCGACGACAGACACTTGATGCAGTAGGATGCTGTGTCTGCATCCTTCCAGTCCAGCTTTCGCAGTTGCCGAAGGACCTTCTCCGTTGTGTTCTTGGCCAAATCTTGATAGATGAGCTTCCTCATATAGTTGTGAAGCGGCGGACGGACCTTCTGTACGCAAAGAGCAGCGCCTTCAGGGGGCAGCACTGTGTAGTACATGTTGTCGATCATGGTCACGTAGCGACTGTCGAAAGCCATGGCCGCCTTCTTGCGCATCAGCTGCTCCAAGTATACCTTAGTGCGCACGTGCGTCTCGGCGGTGCGGTACAGGAAGCGTCCGCACGTCTCCAACAGCGCACAGGCCATTTCCACGTGATGGTGAGTAAAGTCATTTAGCAACATCCGCACACACCAGAGCGCTTCGTTGCGGCCGTACATACCAAACTTAACCAGCTCTCCGATAAAGCGCATCACCTTCAACTTGGTTTCGATGTTGATCTGATCTTTCTTACGGACGTGGTACTTGAAGTCGGCTTTGAGCATCATTGCCAGCTCGGTGGCCACGTCAGGCATACAAGGGTGCAGCGTAGCAACAAGCCGCGCGTAGAAAGGTAGCAGGTCCAGTCGAGTGCGTGGTACGTTGAACAACGCACGCACAAGCTTCTTGCGATTGCTTTTAGTGTTGAGGCTCATGCAAAACTCGACGGCTGCACTGTCGATGAGACTGCGACTGACGCGACCAGGCAGAGACGTCAGGTAGGCCTCCAGCAGCATGCGGTTGGACGAGCTGCTGGCCGTCTCTGGCTCCGGCTCCTCCTCCGGCTCCCGCAGATGCTCATCATTGGCTGCTTCGTCTTCCGGCAGATCGCCCATGTCCTCGGGCGCCTGCTCCTCGACCGGCGGCGTTGCAGCCACCTGGCTGTCGCTGTACAAGATGCTGGGAATGGAGGCGCGCAGGTCGCTCAGACTCGTGTAAAACTGGCGCTGGTCGTCATCCTCCCACACAAGCTGCTGGTCGCCAATGACGCCCTCCTCCTCGGCCGCCTCCAGGAGTCGCTGCTCGGCGCGCTGCTCCGCATCCTCGGGCAGCTCCGGCAGCGGCTCGTCCACCAGCTCCGCCAGCTGCTCCGTCGAGGCCAGTAGCTTGCGGTAGCTGGACTCGGCCTGCTGCAGCCGCTCCTGGCGCTCTGCCGAGAGCTCACCCTTGGTTTGCAGAGCGTGCCTGTTGGAACGCTGTACATTGAGGAGCGCCTGATGTTCGCCAACCAGGTGCTTGGCCACTGATGCATAGTAGTCCTTGAAAAGTTGTCGGACATTTTTCTGTTTTTCTGGCGTCAGAAGACTGGCATTGGGCAGTACGCGGTTGTGTCGCTCGGCGAGCTGCCGAACGCGGCGCGGAGTCAGGCCGGCGTACTCCTCGCCAGAGTGCCGGCAAAAGCTGAGCAACACGCTGATGTTGGCGTGATCGGCCCGATCCTGCGCCACTAGCACCTGTAGAGCCTGGCCCAGCAAAGGCAGCGCTTCGCGGCGCGGCAGAACGCACACAGACACCAGGTCCGCGTACAGACGTAGGTCCACGCGCAGCTTGCTTGGGTTCGAAACCTTTTCATCTTTACGCAGTGCGAGCACCTTGTGCCAGATTTCCATCATCTGGGGCGAAAAGTCAGCGTAGCGGCAGTGCAGTGCCGAGCACACCTCTACAACGGCAGGAACATCTGTCATCTTTAGCTTCACCTCCACAAGCGCGGCGGCGACTTCACTCACGTATTTGGTCAGGTTCAGTGTTAGCATATCACGAATAATGCTCTCCTTCTGCGATTCGGTGAACGATTTCAGCTTTCTCACAAATGCTGTATTCTTTTTCAGACTTGAATCGAGTGCCGAAAAACAGATCTCTTGGCGCTCATTGGTTGCCGCCGAATTAGCCTCTCTGAGCTCCGCTTTAATCCTCATTCTCTCCTCCAGCTCATCGATGTATGAGTTCAGGTGTCCTAACTCTTCCTGTAGTTGTTGCTGCTCCAATTCCGCTGCCTTTTTCTCCTCCTCCTTCACCAAGCGTTGTTTTTCTTCTTCTTTTTCTTCTTTTCTTTTCTCTTCTTCCCTCAATTTCCTTTGCTCCCCCTCTTGTTTGACTCGATCGTCGCCGGCTTTGAGTTGCGCCTCCGTCTCGGCCGAGTCGCGCCCCTGACTGGGACGCCGGTCGCCGCCGCCGGCCCGCTCCTTACCCCGACTGGACGTGGAGCTGCCAGTACTGCTGGCGCGGCTGCCGGCTGGAGCCGCCGGGCCGGCCGGATCTGGGCCTCCGGACATGGAGACATTCTCGGCGCGGCGCTCCTTCAGACGGCGCTCACGGCCCTCTCGCTCCCGCCGCCAGCTTTTCCCGCGCGGTGCAGAAGTCGTGGAATCGGCCATCACTGCCGGCACATAGGCGACAACATCAATGGCGAATGGGTGACCCAGTGGCGCACAATACCTACGCTGTGCCTACGTTCAACGTAGCTTAAAAGTACAATAAAACAAATACGTAGCCTATGATGGGGAGAAAGATAGTCAATTAGGAAAGCATTGGTGACTCTGCAATGCAGGCTAGGCTGTGTACAACAGATTAACCCGCGCCCGGTTGGGGGTCCTGGATTTCCACGCCCTGCTGGGGGGGGGGTGTTTGAACCCCCCCTTCTAACTCGGCTCCTGGGCCACGTAGCGATACGCGGAAGGCGGCGTTCGAAAGAGCGCCAAAAATAATGACGAAATCACTTCAGTCACTTTTTTGGTCAGGTCAAAGGTCAGGTCACCAGAGGTCATTGAAGGCAAAATTTCGCCGATTTTCAGGTCGAATGTCGACAATTTCCAGGAAGCCAACGCATAACTCGGGAACCAATAAAGCTACAGCGCCGCGGAAAAGCGCATTCGATAGCCCTATTAACGCCCTTTCTGAACAATTCTCTCTGATTTGACCTAACGTCAACGGTTTTGCCTGCAGGGGGCAAAAACTGCAAAAATAACCGTTTTTCGGAAACAGTTTTTCTGCAATAACTTTTGACCCAAGCCTTGTACGAGCTTACTTTTACCGGCATCGTGTTCCTCTCGTCAAGACGCATCGAATGAACTATAACGTGGCCTTGAAAGGTCAACTTGAAAATTTGACCTCAGGTCAAGGTCATAACCTGACCGAAAAGGGTCATGTTGCATATCAGTCGATCCGTATCGTCGAGCTGAGCACATCTAAGGCGTTTTCACCGTTCTAGCATGCCTCTCTCAAAAGTTATTTGCGAAAAACTGTTAGACACCATTCGTGACCTGAGATGACCTCAGGGGCATAAATAGGGGTCACGGACACCATTTTCATGTTCAGTGTGTCTAAACCACTCGTAATTCAGTGTTTGGGAGTGTTTATAATGTCTTTCGTCCAAAAGAGGCGCATTTCAATTTTCTCCCATTGACTTATAATGGGGAGGTCGCAAAATTGACCTGACCTTAGGTCACCGATATCAAAATTCCGAGATATACATTTGATAGATACTGTTACCCTTATCAATCGCTGAAAGTTTCAAAGCGATCGGTCACTCGGTGTAGCTATGGCAGACATTGAAACTTTTTATGAGGTGAGGTCACTTCAAGTGACCTGGTGACCTGACCTTGAATGACCTTGGTCTGAAATTTTCACAACATGTGTAGAATTGATGTATGATAAGGTGTACCAAAAAACGGCGGCGTTCCGCGCCGCCGTTTTTGAGATATTTGCAAAAAACCACAAGGGGGGTGTTCAAACACTCCCCCCCCCCCAGCAGGCCGCGGGTTAAGCACTAAGCAACTCACCAAAAATAACAGTCTTGTCACATGTGGTATTTGTTCTTTGTCTTAACCTCCAAAAAGACTAAGTCAACAGTCTTTGAGTGGGTCTTAATGTTTTACTTGGCATTACTACATGCGTACATCACTGAACAACACAACATTATACCTACTTCCCTACTAAAACCTAGGGTGCAATAAAGACAACCAATAGTAAATAGTAATGGTTTAATGCTCCCCTTTCAACCGCGCATTACTGGGGGGGGGGTTACGCTACCCCTTAGGGTTTTCGCGAATATGCCAAAAACAGCGGCGCGCTGCGCGCCGCCGCTTTTGGCACACCTTATCTCACATTTTTCTGCACATGTATAAATTTGAGACCCAAGCCGTTCAAGGTCAGGTCACCAGGCCACGTCACGTGACCTTACCTCAGAAAAAAGTTTCAATGCTCGCCATACCTACACAGACTTAACGATCGCTTTGAAACTTTCAGCGACTGATGAAAGTAACAGTAGGGGAGACCCGGGAGGTATGGGCCCCCTGGAAGTATGGGTCATCGCAGTTTTGAAGGAGTGTTGCGTATTTTTACACATTTGACCGCGTAAACTGGTAGCAGCCATTCCGTTATACAACCCACGTGATTTTCAAAATCTTCCTCAGCCTGCTTTGGCAATGAGCGGTGAAAAAGCGTTTTCATCCTCTTCGAGTAAAATACTGTACATACAGAAAATTCGTGATAAATTTGAACCAGGCTCGTTTTATGATGTCAGAGTCAGACCAATGCTTACATTAAGTTTAAACTTTAACCCGCGCCCTGGTGGGGTCTGTTTCTAACGCGACCTGGTGGGGGGGGGGGGCTATTTTTTGCCCCCCCCCCCTCGTATCTCCGAAACTACTGGACGGATCCGCAAAATTCAAACGGCGCTCGAAAGGCCTGTCAAATTTGTCATGGGAAACCAAATTTCATTGACCTCAGGGTCACCGATGACGTCACAGGTCAGGTCAAAGATGAAATGTTTCACCGTTCACGGGTCTTCTAGGGAATGCGCTATAACACCGAGGAAAACGCATTTTGTCGAGAATCAGCGATAGGGCGTCAGTTGCCTAGTAGATATGTTGCTATTAGAGGTCACTGACAATACCAGGTCGCGTCACAGGTCAGGTCACCAAGGGTCACAGGTCAGGTCACATGAACCCAACTTTACTAAAGTTGTGTGATGCATGTTTTATGGCCAATTTTTCATTTCCAACTCAATGGTGTTGGTTATAAGACTATCAGGTACGGCTTAGGTCACTTTCTGGTGAAGTTCAGGTCAAGGTCAGGTCAAGGTCAGGCCAAAAAAGGTCAAATTTTAAAGTTGATAGTTTTGCATAAAATGGGTATTGATTCGATGCAGCTCGTCACGGGGAGTCTAATGGTGGTCTTTGTTTTGCGCTACGGGGTCTAGAATTGCTAAAAATTGAGTTTGAAAATTTGACGTCATCAATTTTGAACAGTTTTTTCGCTATAACTTCGCCAAAAAGAGGCATCAATCTCAAATTTGGTATGTGGATGGAAGGTGGTAAGGACTATCACATATATTCCGGTTTTTGCGAAATTCAAAAAACTTTTTGGATTTTTCGATCATTATATCCAAAAAAATTATTTTTTGATTTTTGGGGGTCAAAATCCAAAAATTTCAAAAATTCGAGATAGCAGTTTTGTAGCCGTGTCAATTCTACAGCTTTTATGTCCTTATCATTTTTCTGTATTTGCAAAGCTATAGGCCTGACAGCTCTTTCCGCAAAACCCTTTTTTGGGTCGAAAACGGCAGAACATGACGTCACTCTGACGTCATTTCCGGCCAACCTATCATAGCCTTTGGAAAAAATTTTGGTCACCATGTGTAAAATTGATGTCCGGGAGGGTACTGAAAGTTTGGTGACGATCGGCGCAGCGGTTCTGGAGATATATCGAAAAGTCTGGAGGGGGGGGGCAAAAATAGCCCCCCCCACCAGGTCGCGGGTTAAAGCATGCAAATTAAGACTGGATAGACAACTTGAAGCTTTCTTGCAAGATTGTGAGCTGAGATGCTACGCAAATTATGGCGTCCTAGCCGGAAGGTTCGGGCCACCCACCCCCGTTGAGCCTAATTCAATAAAAAGATGCTTTCATTGAGTGTCATCTTCAATAAGTTTTATTTTTGTCGCGCAAGGTTGAAAAATTTAACTTCAAATTTCATTCGAAAAGAAAATATTGTTTATTTTATTTCATGGTGCATGATTGAGTTAACCAAAATACATGTGTGCCCAAGTGACCTCCATGAAGTAAGCTGTTGGCCGCTTATGCGGTTCCTGGGCTCTAAGAGAGATCAAAGTAGATACCAGCTACGAGTATTGTTCTCATTGTCGAGAAAAGAATATGAAACATGGCACCGGCCTATACCTCCCGGGCCATGGCCCATACCTCCCGGTGTATTTTGATGGATCGAAAAAGCACATTATTCATTTAAAGTTATTTCGAGACAAAATAGTTGATCCCAGATGCCCAATATCAGGCACACTTTGCAGGCGAAAGGCAATTTACGTGCACAGAGTGAAAAACCGTGCCTAGCCACTGCCCGCTGGAAGAAAAAAGCCTTTTCACAAAACCGGCCCATACCACCCGGGTCTCGCCTACTTATCCATGGGTTAGGTCAAATGAGGTCAACTGAGGTCAAATGACGTTTTTGCCAATAACTTGGCACACAATTAGGCTAGCGCTTAAAAAATGATGTCATTGTGTTCCTGGTGATCAGCCGAATCGAATGATATGCGATATGATGAAATTTGGTTAACTTGAACTTAGTTAATTAATTAAAGTTTACTTAAAAATTAGGAAAAAAAAATAAGTACACTTAAGCAAGCAAAAAGTATATCATTCGACGCGCCTTGACGTGCTGAGTTCACTGGTGCTTTTCTTTTTGCTGTATCTTAAGTAGATCAAAAGTTATAAGCGAAAAACTTTTGACTTGTTTTTAGCGACATTTTTATATTTATACCCCCCCAAAACCCCCCTAAATAGTGACCTAGAGCAACCAAATTTGCACAGGGGCGAGAACTCCAGGGGGCCCAACTACCTACCAAATTTGGTGTTTCTAGGTGCCATAGGACTAGGAGCCAATCGCGAGGGGGGTCGCATCAACCCCCCCCCCCCCGCCACGCCGTGTTATGAAAAATGCCCTGCCAGGGCGAGGGTTAATCCGCGCCACTTTTGCCTCCTGCAGCACCGAATTTCCGGCTGCAGGAAAACGAAGTATGCTTCAGTAGGTGACGTCACACAAGAGATGACGCAGTGGTGTGGGCGGGACTAATGGGCGACGCAGCCCTCACTGCGCGTGCGTGCTGCAGAATATTTTATTTTGGCTGCGCAGCCGAACAGCCCTCTGCTTTACAATTCCGTCATTTTCTTGGACACTAACGCCCCGCAGAGCAATTCAATAGGTGCCGTACCTGTTGAACCTGCATCGTTCCATGCAAAATCACCGCTACACTGGAAATACTTTCTGGACCACACACCACCGGAGCGGCGTTGGAATTGCGGCCTCTTTCTGGTCCCGGCGTTTTATTCTCCGGGTGGGTTAAAGGGACCCTCCCACCTTCAAAA